TATCACATTTCTAAGCTGTCTGCTAAGGTTAAGCAAGTTGAGAACTGTACCTAAACTGTAAAACAGTTTAAAGATTTTTTTTTGCTTCTTTAGAACTAACATTAAATGAGGAGGTTGATATAAATTTTAATGGTGTGTTATATATTTAATTATGAATTAGATTAATTCAAGTAATTAAGTATTTATTGAATGAGAAGATACATGAGCATCTACTGGCAAAAATTAAGCATGATATGGTCTTAGATCTCAAGGAGTTTATAAATAATCAAGATGCAGTAAATGTTCATTTATCAATTGAAACAAGAGAAAAAATAAGTATTGGTTGATACGTATGTCAGTTGCTTTATGAATATTCCAAAAAATTATTGGAAAGTTCAGTGCATCATAAATAAAAAAAAAAAAAGAAACTCAATTTGATGATCTAAAAGCTTGCTTGGCAAATGATCACTTCATCTTAAATTGCAACTTTACTTAATGACAATTACAATTAAGTAATTTGTGTGCTATTGGTATCCTCAACCATTTTCTCTTTTATACATAAATCTATGTCAAATATTTAAGTGTGCACTACATTCCAAGGCACTAGGTCATGAACTATGATGAACAAAAGGAGACTTCAAGGCACATTCTGTCCTCAAGGACCTTTTAGTCTGGTTGGCCAGATAAGGTTGCTTCATATAACAGCATTTCAAAAAAAGAGAACTAACGTGCAGCGTTAGTTCAAGGATGGCACATAGAGAACACTGAAGGACTGGTAGAATTTTAATAGAGGTTTGGGCATTTCAGCTAAAAGGCAAAAATTCAGGAGCAAAAGGCAAAAGGTTCACAGGCCATTTTTAGTATAATAAAAATGCTTTCCTTATGCTAAAGGGTTCCTTCCTGAAGTCATGGGCTAAATGGGCAGAATGGCATGATAAGGCTGTATTACAAAAGCTTGGAATATAGGCTGTGGAGTTCCTACTTTATCCTACAAGCGAAGAGAGTCATGGAAAGCTTCTGAGTAATCAAGTGATGCTATCAACACATCTCTTTAGAAAGATGGTTCCTGAGTGATGCACAGATGATCTTGAAAGGAGAAGAGCCTGAAGACAGAATGTTCAACTAACAGGTCATGGCATTAATCTTGGGTGTGGATGGTTGAGGACCACAGTCGGGTGATAGGAATCAAGGGCAGATTAAATGTTTTTTTGTTTATTTTTTAAATGGAGCATTAGTATATTGTTATAAGTAGTGATTAAAATGCCAAAGCTAAATGCATTGGTAATCTATGAGAAAACATTAAAGTGTCATAAAAGCCATGGAGCTGGCATTGTGGTGTATCTGGGTTAAGCCACCACCTGCAATGCTGGAATCCTGTATGAGTCTCAGCTGTTCCACTTTCCACCCAGCTCTCTGCTAATGCACCAGGGAAAGCAGCAGAAGACGGCCCAAGTGCTTGGGCCCCTTTACTCCTGTGGAAGACCTGGAGGAAGCTCCTGGCTCCTGGCTCCTGGCTTTGACCTGGCCCAGATCTGGCCATTGAGGCCACTTGGGGAGTGAACCAGCAGATGGAAGATCTCTCTTCTCTTACTCTCTTCCTCCTTCTAATTCTGACTTTCAAATAAATAAATAAATAAATACAAATTTAAAAAAAAGAAAAGGAGATATGGTAATAATGACTTTCATTAAAAAAAAAAAGGCAGCCACATGGATTCTTTATCTGCATGATATTATCAAAAACATTGTAATCCTGTTTTACTCATGTTCCCTATGCAATATTCCAAGCAAGACATTCTGTAGGGAGTTTAGTCACTAAAATCTCAGCGTATATTTGAGGAACTGATATATTTTCATCTTTCTCACGATGAAAGCATGAAGCTCAATCTTCCCTGCATGACAGCAGGCTCTGAACCAAGCTGTCGGCTTCACCACCACAGCTGTGTTGACTTGGGCTGTAATCTCTGTTTTCTCCTTTGTTCTTAACTCTCCTCCCCTTCCCCTCCTGCATCTTGTTTGTATTTTTTTCAAGCCTCTAAACAGATGGTCCCATCCAGCCCTTTCTTACATCCAACCTCCAGCTTTATTCAGAGGTGGTCCCTGAATCCACAGCATCAGCAGCACCCAGGAATGTTTCAGATGCAGATTCCCTAGCTGCACTCCAGAGCATTGAGTCAGAACTCTGAGCTTGAGGTCTGTCCATGTGTTTTAACAAGCCCTCTACGTGAATCCAGCATGCACTTCAGTTTAAGGATCACTGTTCCAAAGGGTGACCACTCATTTTTCTGTTTAGCTCTGTCATCATGATGTCTCTGGTCCACTCTGCATATACTGGAAAATCCGTTATACGCTTTTCATAGTAAGTATAAATTCTTGAAATATGTTAATCCAACTGCTGTAACTAATTATTATGCTGGCAAAGTCAATAAAACATTTATGAATACCCTCTCCCTCAAGGTCACAAGCTGGCTCATGCTTGAGCTACCTTAGGTAAACATGGCAACACGTGGACAAGGAGTGCCATTCTTTGTTAAGAAACTTCCTAACAACTGCTTTTCTGGGCAGGGAGGCAGCAGATAAACCAGAGGGAGATCTGTGCCTGTCCAATATATCTTTAATTAAGTAGGTGTGTAGAGTGTGAGACCAGCAGAGGATTAGTTGGAACTGTCTTAGCTACATAACCTGGATTCAGACTCCTTTTAGGAAAGACAAGAGGCAGTAATTGTTGCTTAGCATCATTGTAAACAGTCCAGGCAAGGCAGTGAATCTTTGCTGATATTTGAAGATATTGCAATTTAGGGTTGAGATTAAAGATTCTAAGTGAAGTAGACAAGGGCCCAATTCCTGAATTACACAGAGATACATCCAATTTATATTCTTAAAGAAATATATTTGGCCAGCGCTGTGATGTAGTGGGTTAAGCCACCGCTTGCAGAGCCAGCATCCCACATGGATGCCAATCCGAGTCCCAGTTGTTCACTTCCTATCCAGCTCTCTGCTAATGTGGCTAAGAAAGCAGTAGAAGATGGTCTAAGTGCCTGGGCCCGTGCACTCATGTTGGGGACCAGAAGTTCTTGGCTCTTGGCTTCAGCCTGGCCCAGCCCTGATTATTGGAGCCATCTGGGGAGTGAACCAGTGTATAGAAGGCTTTTCTCTCTCTCTCTCTCTCTCTCTCTCTCTCTCTCTCTCTCTCTATCTCTATCTCTCCCCTAACGCTGCCTTTCAAAAACATAAATCTTAAAAAAAGAAAGAAATATATTACCAGATATTTGCATTTATATATAAAGATACTTTTGCTCCCTCACCAACTTTTTTTTTTTAAATTTAGAGGACTTAATAAATTTAAATGTAGTAACATCTTCAAAAACTGCTTCTAAATCTTTAAGTTACTTTGTTGGGAGCAACACGTATCAGGGAAGGAGTGAGTTTCAGTGGAAATCTTAAACTGAGGCAGAAAACAGGAGAGGGCGGGTGGTTATTTCTGTTTCATCTGGTGGCAAATAAAGAAATAGGTAAGTATTCTTGCAAAACATATGTAAGTTCATGGGATTTATTCAACTACAATTTTGAAGATGTTGGTAATTAATGCAGTCAACAATTGGTTAAAGGCTAGCATGTCTGAAACAACACTAAAAGGACAAGGCAGTAGCTGATTAGGCCTAAATTACATCATCCTTGAAGTACTATGCACTCTTGGAAATCTCATCTCTCGTGACTTTATCTAGTAACTATGTAGGTCATTGTTTCTCAGGCTTGAGTAATGCGGGAATGGACATTTTCTTAATATGGAATGAAAATATTCTTCTTTTAATTTTACCTAATCATGTGCCAGTCTAAAAATAGGCTTAATTGTTTAGCCCTATGAGTCTTAATCAACTATAAAAAAATTTGCAAGTTAAATAAAGAAAAGCTATGCAATCAACAAAACTTAAATTAATTTAGTGCCTTGAATGATGTTTTATGGAAACAAAAGTCACCACTCAAGCCTGGAACATGGCTCTGCCTGCTAAGACGCATGCAGGTTTGTGTGTGTTCAGCAGGCCTTGCTGTGTGAGTCATGCAATGACTCAGCTCTCATCACTTCTTTCAAAGTACTGTGAAACTATCCTTTATATGCATTTCCAGTGGGATTTGTTTTCCTGTGATTTGCACAAACATATCATGTATGTATTCACTCTGCTTGTGATAGTTCCTCATTATTCAGCAACAATTAATACAGTACTGTGGATGATTAATCTGAACTACAAATAAAATGGTGAGAAATAAACCCATGGGAGATATTTGATACAAGGAAGCCATCTAGACAGTTCCAAATTTTCTTTCATCGCTTTTTTAAAGACTGTCATGGACACAAAGACCTGAAATCCTCATTAAAAACAGAGGGCATTTGTGGTGGACACAGCTGTGCTTCCCAGCCCCCCTGCAAGGAAGCATGTGTAGCCCCACCTCTCAGTGAACAGTCTCAACTCACAGTTCCTCTAGGGCTTGCTTAGTTGCAAGGAGCTGCCCATTTTAAGAGCTTATCCTTGCCCAGGTGCCCACATTCAGTGGCTGATTGCAGCAGCAGTATTAAAACCTGGTTCTCTCAATAAGCACAACTCTGATGTACCCAAAGTGCTCCAGACTCCCTGCATGGGCTGCAGACTGAGACCTCATCTCAGTTGCTTACATTGCAACTCAACCCCTCCCTCCTGGGCCTCTTTCCCTCCTTCTCTTCCTAATAAATATCCTGCATGACAAACTCTGAGAGTTTGCCTCCAAAGAACCCAGTCAACAAGAACTTCCAACAATCCCTCTGAGGACCCCCAGGGGAAAGAGAATGCCTCTCTGTGGCCCTGATCCTCCTTGAAGCTTCTATATTCACAAAAGTTCACTTCTGACTGTAAATTCCTGCCAACACTTCAAATTCAACAGGTCCAAATCTGACGCATAACCGATCTCTTAGGCTCATGTCTGAAAACAATTTGTGTGTTTTTTTTTTCCCTGTGTTATCTTTTATTTAACGGCGCTACCCATTATTTTAAAGCAGTCAACTCACTGAAAGATACTGATATTTAAAACTGGAAGCTGTGTTGTCAGTTGCAAATGAGAATCTGAGAGATTTGTGAGGGAGAAATTGTCAGGAAAGCAGTAGAACATTTCATGCCCGTGGGTGCAGTCTTGCGAATTTGTGACAGCCATTGTGAATCCGAAAACCATGACCACAGCACCAAGGGGAAGCATGACACAGGCCATAATCTTATCGGAGTGTGTCCTTGGTTCTTCAGACAGCTTCAGATAACAGGCTGATGGAATGATAAAAATTAGGGGAGCTGCACAGAGCACACCCTGTATGTTGGAAACAAGAAACAAGGTCATATTACTGGGTGGAAGCATTCTTTGGACAGTTTTACAAACATTTACAAAATATTTTTTATTGCATATGTTACAAATCTGATAGGTCCCATTCAAACACAGGACATAAAAGAATTCCAAGAAAGTCTTAGAAATAGGCTTTCCTTCACCAATAGACTATTTTCAAATGATGAGTTAAACAGTATAAATGTATATCAGACTTAAGAAAAGGATAATTACAAAATAATATTAAAAATAGAGCAGCAAGATTGACTTCTGGCAAACTACTGAAATTTCCCATATTTTTAGTTACATCTTTTACCTTATATTCTTCATGTAAAATTACTGTGTAGCTACTATGTCCTTCAACCCCCGAGTGGTCTCATTTGCCATTTGTGTACAGTGGAGACTTTTGGAATATTGTATAAGGAATATTGTTTTTCCTCTTTACCTGAGCTTGCATGGAAGGAATGTCTGTCTATGAGAAAGGAAAACTATAACCCTAAGGGCACTTCACATGAAATAGTATTTCTAAATCCTCTTTCAAGTAAAACTAAACACAATAATTGCCCTAGAAAATTAACAGCAGAGCTAAAGGATTGTAACTTTTCTATCCTCCCCCACATTAGCCAGGGATAAATCCAGCCTAAGGGGGAATGTCAAATTGAAAATAATGGGTAGTAGAATTATCTATAACGAAAATACAAGAGTTACTGGCTTCAAAAGAAAAGAGAACTTGCCCTTGAATAGGCCTAATTTGCACTAGAAACTTTGTAAGTGATGCATGAAAAGTGGATGCACTCTAAGTAACACATTTTTCTAATTATGTTAAATTTTAATTATATTGAAAATGAAACAAGATAAAGCATAGTAATAAAATAATTTAAAATTCTGACATTCTCTTAATAAAATGTATTAAAATAAATTGTGTATATTAAAAGTTTATGTCATGATACTACAGTATACAAATACAGTAAAACAGTCACAACAATGAACTAAATATGTCATTTCACAGTTACTTTTTTAATAAGAGCAGTGAAAATCTACTTACTTAACAGAAACCCCAGATACAATTGTATTAGTATTAGACTAATGCCATGTAGTCCTCATGTTGTGCATCAGAGCTCTGGACCTGTTCATCCTGCATATCTGCCTCTCTGTAGTTGTGATTTTCATTTGTCTGTTTCCTCCCGACCCCACTTCATCTTCCCATTGCTCTGAAACCTGGAATCTCAGTTTTAGTTATTTTGGAAATTTGATTTTTAAAATAGATTCCGCATATAAGACCATACAACATAATTTTTCTGTGTTTGGCTTATTTCACTTAGATTAATGTCCTCCATATCCATCCATGTTGGAGCAAATGGCAAGATCTTCTATTATAAGGCTGAATAATATTCTATTACATTTGAGGGTACTTTAAAAATGGAATGAAATTGAATGAACATGTTCATATTTTTGAAATGTATATGTATATATATGTATATGCATATATGTACATATATATGTATATGTATACATATATATGGATATATGGATATTTTCTTTATCCACTTGTCTGTCAATGAGCACTTCAGTTGTTTCCATGTCTTGGCTATTGTGAATAATGCTGTAATGAACATGAGAGTGAAGATATTTTTACAACATGGTGATTTCGTTTCCTTTGGGTATATACCCAGGATAGGGATTTCTGGGTCATCTGGTAGTTTTACTTTAATTTTATTAGGACTCTCCATATGGTTTGCCATAATGCTTGTACCCATTTGCATTCCCACCAGCAGTGTCTTTGGGTTCCCTTTTTTCCAGATTCTCGTCAACATTTGTCACCTCTCATTTTTTTATAATAGCCAGGAATAGATATGAAATGATGTTTCCTAATGATGATGATTAGTGATATGGAGAATCTTCCCAAATATATCCCTGCTGGCCACTTTTATGTATTCTTTGAACAACTGTATGTTCAGGTCCACAGCCCATTTTTTTTTTAAATATTTATTTATTTGAAAGGCAGAGTTAGAAAGAAAGAGGGAGAGACAAGGAGAGATTTTCATCACTTGTTCACTCCCCAAGTGGCTGCAATGGCCTGGGTTTGGCCAGGCCAAAGCCAGGAGGTAGGAATTTCATCTAGGTTTCTCACATAGGTTCAGGGTTTCAAACGCATTTGGGCCATCTTCTGCTGCTTTTTCAGGAGCATTAGCAGGGTGCTGGATTGGAAGTGGAGCAGCTGGGATTCAAACCAATGCCCATGTGGGATGCCAGCATTGCAGTTGAGAGCTTAACCTACTATGCCATAACGCTGGTCCCCACAGCCCATTTCAAAATTGGGTTACTTTTCTGCAATTGAGTTGTAACAGTTCTTTATAAATTTTGGATATTAAGTCATAGTCAGATGTGTGATTCACAAATCTTTTTTGTAGTAGGTAGGTTGCCTTTTCATTTTGTTGATTGTTTCCTTGACTGTGCAGAGGGGTTTTCATTTATAGTCCAATTTATTAATATTTGCGTTTGTAGCCTGAGATTTTGGTGTGATATAAAAAAATTGCCAAGGCTTTATCAAGGAAATTTACCTTTATATTCTTTTCTAGGAGTTTCATGGTTTCAGATCTTACATTTAGATCATTTATCTATTTTGAAACTTTTTTTTGAGCATGGTGTAACAAAAGGGTTCCATTTCATTATTTTCAATGTGGAAACACATACTTTCCAGCAATATTTACTAAAATTTCTATCCTTTTGTGTCCTTTTAGTTGACCCTATGTGCTTGGGACTTATTTCTGCACTCTGCACTGTTTTTCATTAGTTTATGCTTCTTTTATGCCTGTACTGTGCTATTTTGATTACTATAGCTTTGTAATATAATTTTAAAGCAGGAAGTGTGATGCCTCCAACTTTGTTTTGTTTCTCAGTATTCACTTGGATTTTCACTTTTTTTGGTTCCATACCAATTTTAGGATTCTTTTTCATATTTCTGTGAAGACTGTGACTGAAATTTTGATAGGGATTGGGTTGAATCTGTGTTTGCTTTAGATAGTGTGGCCATCTTCACAATATTAAGCCTTCTGATCTGCAAACACAGGATATCTTTCCATTTGTGTCTTCAATTTTATTCCTCAGTGTTTCATAATTTTAAGTGAACAGAACTTTCAGTTCATTGGTTACATTTATATCTAAGTATTTTATTTTCTTATGCTATTGTTAATGGGATTGTTTTCTTGATTTACTTTTCAGCTAGCTTGATATTTATTCATGGAAATTCTATAGGATTTTGTATGTTGATTTTGACACATTACTGAATTCATTTATTCAAGCAGTGTCCTTTTTTGCAGAATCTTGGGGGTTATCTACATGTAGGATTATTTCATTTGCCAGTAGAGAGAATTCTACTTCTTCCTTTCTGATTTAGATGCTTTGCTTCGCTTCTCTTCTCTTCTCTTCTTTTTTTCTTTCCTCCCTTCTCTCTCTCTCTCTCTCTCTCTCTCTCTCTCTCTCTCTCTCATTCACACACACACACACACACACACACACATCAAGTTACTTTAGCTAGCAATTCTAGTACTCTGTTGAATAGAAGTGGCTGTAGTGGAGTGGCTTTGGTGGGTATCACTACCTTGTACTTTATCTCAGTGGAAAGCTTTCAGTTGTCCGCTGATTATGATGTTAGCTATGTATTTTTTATGAATGTTGAGGAACATCCTTCTGTGAAAAAAATGTAAGTTTTTTTGTTTTTGTTTTCCTATTTGAGAAGCAGAAAGAGAGAGAGAGGACTCTTATCTACTGGTTCACTTCTCAGATGCCCACATCTTCCCCTGGCTGGGGTAGAAACCAAGAACCAGGAACCAAATCCAAGTTTCCCATGTGGGTAGCAGGAACGCAGTTAGTTGAGCTGTCACTGCTGCCTCCCAGGGTCTGCATTAGCAAGGAAGTAGAGGACCCAAATACTTCGATTTAGGATGAAGATGTCTTACCTGGAGTCTCAACTGCCAGGCTAAATATCCACTCCATTAACTGTTTTCATTAAGAAAGAATGCTGAACTTTGATATATGTTTTCTGGATTAATTGAGATGACCATGTGCTCTTTATCTTGTACTCCGTTAATGTGATGTATCACAAGTTTTATGCTCTTAAACCATATACAAAAGCTTTTTAAACATAGAGTTAGAGGGCATTTGGCACAGCAGTTAAGATGTGAGTTGGGACATCCACATCCCATATCAGGGTGCCTAGGTTTCAGTCCTAACTCATCTCCATTGCAGCTGACTTTTCCTCCCTCCCTTCCTCCCTCCCTCCCTCCCTCCCTCCCTTCCTTCCTTCCTTCCTTCCTTCCTTCCTTCTTCAGGTTCATTCCTCAAATGGCCATAACAACCAGAACTGGCCTAGGTTGAAGCCAGGAGCCTGGAACTCCATCCTGAGTGGCAGAGGCCCAAGTGCTTGGAAGTCTTCTGTTGCCTTTCCAGGTGCATTAGCAGGAAGCTGGATCAGAAGCAGAGCAGCCAGGACTCAAACTTATATATGGGATACCGGCATTGCAGGTAAAACCACTGCATCAGAATGCCAGCCCCTGCTGCCTTCTGTTAACATGCACCCTGGGAGGTCTCTGCCCCCAGTTTGGTAGATCAAGACTGAGTTCCTGACTTCTAGCTTGATCCTGGCCTATCCTTAGCTGTTGTGGGCATTTAGAGAGTGAACCAGCTGTTGGGAGATTCACCTCTCTTTTTCTCACACACTCTCTCTCTGCCTTTCAAATAAACAAAAACTTAAAAAATAAACATAATCATTAGTAATTGTGACATAGGTTTATAACTAAATGCAAGTTTTCCATAAAATATGCTTTCTATGCTTTAAAGCTATTATTATGTAAATTTTTAAATGTACATGAAAGCAGAAATAACTGTATAATGAAATCCTACATGCTGATCTCCTACGGCTTAGAAATTTTTTGACACATTACTTTGGTAGATTTTCCCTGGGAAAAATTATAGACAACTGAATTTGT